TTAAAGAAACTAAACATGGTAGTTTTAGAATTGTTTAGCTTAATTAGTTCTGCATAAGTGCACAAAGCAGCATAGTTCGAAACGAAAAAAGAGATATTCCTGTTAAGTCTACGTATATCAATAGAATCATCACTTATAAAAGTCTTCAATTAGTTTACTCAAGTAGGAAGTTACATGCCATACGAAAATGAAAAGCAGAACAGATGGAATAATTTCGAAAATAAAATTGTCTTTATATGTACAGTACATGCTCCTGCCGAATATTAACGAACGAATTACTGAATTGGAATCATATTTCATTTTTTTCGAACGTTAAGTAACATGCAAATTATAGTCAATACNGAAAATGAAAAGCAGAACAGATGGAATAATTTCGAAAATAAAATTGTCTTTATATGTACAGTACATGCTCCTGCCGAATATTAACGAACGAATTACTGAATTGGAATCATATTTCATTTTTTTCGAACGTTAAGTAACATGCAAATTATAGTCAATACTTACAGAGGATAAAAACAAACAAAACCTGGTGGTATTTTTGAAGATATTGAGTATTACTTTTGCATCGAAATCAAATTATCATACATTTAACTCTCATTGACACAACAGTGCAGTGGTCTTTACAAGCCTAGCATAAGAGTATACTCTTATAGCGAAGCAGAACGTGTTCTACAATCGCGAAAACAAGTAATTTTCATGTGAAAAATGCTCTTATTTCCATGGAAATATAGTACGGAAAAGTTTATTTTATAGAATTTCTCCATACATCTATACTGTATTAAGATAACAAGACGTCTACTTTAGATTATTGCGTTCTGATGTTCCTCGTAAATTTGGCATTTGTCCCGTTTTTGACAAATAGGAAGCTTTTGTGAAATTTTAAATCGTGAGTTTGCAAGCTTTCCAATTCCATAAAACAGTCTAAAAATTAAACTGGATAAGACTTCTGTGATTGTCCGCAATATTTAATATTAGCAAATAATTATTGGCCGGAAAAGAAAATTTATTGGTTAAAAAAATAAACAGAAAATCGAGAAATTAGAAAATGTCTACAAGTAAAATGATGAAGCGATGAAAAATATATTTAATTTTTGAGATGCTGTGGATATATGAATTTATGAACAATTCAGTTTGACAAATTAAAAATAATTCAACAGTACTATGAAAATCCAGACTATTTTTAGATGATGTAGAAAATACTATGAAATATGGTGCAAGATAAACGTTGTTCACATCGTTGAACGTATGTTTTGTTACATTTTCCTCAAACATATGCTCCCACGGAGAAGTTTTTGCTCATTAATAGAGAATGGAATATGGAGTATTACAATTATCAGTAGCACCATTAAAGTTATTGATAGATACGAGAAAAATAAGCGTTTTTTTAATCCATGTAACAAAAAAAATGTACGGCATAATAAATGATAAGGAAACCTGAAACTACGAGTATCATTTTCATTATCTATTTCTAGCCTAACGATAAGTATATTATTATTAAAAATTAAATGAATAAATTTCTATTTAAAATTTGAGTAGATATAACTTACGAGGTTTTCTTAATTTAATTTATAAATTAAAATATATTTTAATATAATATAAGAATTTTTAAATCAAATCGAGATTTAAAAATTTTTATTTTAGGATGTTTTACATAGCATTATATATACTAACTAAATTTAATAATGTTAATAACAAGCTTATTTTAAATTATTTTTAAATTTTATATTGTGTTAATTCTGACGATTTTAATTAAATTCTTTAAATTAAAAGCGTCAAAATTAATTTAATTAAGAATTATTTGTTTAGTATCTATTCTAAATTAAGAATTTCTTCTATTTATAGAATATTTACTATAAGAAACCTATTAAAAATGTTTATTTAAACATTAATTTGTTATAAAAATATAATTTTGATAAAATATGAATTGTAATTTATACTTTAAAAGAGTAAAAAAATTTCTAAGCTTATATTAGCCTTAATTATTAAAAAAAAATTAAATGAAAATAAATCTTTCGAAGCTAATTTAAGCTTTATTACGTTCAAGCATTCGTTTAAATCGAGTTTATAAATAAATTTGCTTTTATTTCTTTTTTTTTTGTATAGAATATCATGAAATGTTTTCAAAATAATTTGAAATCAATTATTCAGTTATTGGAAGATGCTAATTAATTTAAATAGCAAATCATCGATTATATTTCGAAACGAGATTTATTCTATTTTATAAACTCGCAGTTTCATTTCATTTTAATTTAATTATAAGAGAAAAGTCGAATACAATCAGTCTCCAATTATCAACTCCAATATAATTATTTTTATAAAGAACTTCGTTTGAAAAACTTCTAATTAGTGTTTCTTGCAAAGTTTGCTTTTCTAAACTTGTTATAAACAAATGAACATTTATTTTTTAATCATTTATTAAGTACATGTGGCAATTAAATTAGACGTTTTTATAAGGTAATTATTTTTCGCGTATACTTAATTTGGAAATATTTTAATTCTTGAGATTTTACAGATTTTTAAAATATAAATATTTGTATTTTCTCTTATAAGTTATTTAAATATTTTGTTTAGTATTAAAGCAAATAAAAAAAAATCTTTAAAATTAAAATAAAAGATATTTCTGAAAAGGATTTTCCCCTATCTTTTCGTATCAAGGCATAAGCTATTATATATTGTAGCCTCCAGAAATTAGAGCTCTTCCTTTTATTTTAAAAGCTAGATTTATTAAAATAGGCTTTAAAACTTTGATGTTTTTCCATTTTCAGGATTTAAATATCGAGTTTTGTTTGAATTTCTGATCAACAATTTTTCACTGAAGGGATTAATTTGAATAGAGAACTAATATTTAAACATTTTTAATAAACTAAATTCTTAATCTTATATCTTGGTTAACTGACTTTTAGACCACCTGTATTTGTTAATAGAAACGCTATTTTTAATTGCTTATATTAACATTTCTGAACCTGATTAAGCCCAAGGACTAGTAAAATTCTGAAAAAATTCTGAAGATCACTAAGTTATGTAAGCATAATTTTTTAAACCTATGTGAGTATTACCAACATTTGGAATAGTTTGAATACATATGGGAAACATAATTAAATTGGTAGTAAACTATTAAAAGTGAATCATCATTGAACAAAGTTTTAATCCTTATTAATTTAAGTCTGCCTGCAATCACCTGTCCCATCATGGCGGATCGCAGATTGAGAAACGTTGGCTTACATTAATAAATATATAATCCGTATATCAATAGAATCATCATTTATAGAAGTCTTCAATTGGTTTACTCAAGTAGGAAGTTACATGCCATACGGAAAATGAAAAGCAGAACAGATGGAATAATTTCGAAAATAAAATTGTCTTTATATGTACAGTACATGCTCCTGCCGAATATTAACGAACGAATTACTGAATTGGAATCATATTAATATTATATTTCATTCTTTTCGAACGTTAAGTAACATGCAAATTATAGTCACTACTTACAGAGGATAAAAGCAAACAAAACCTGGTGGTATTTTTGAAGATATTGAGTATTACTTTTGCATCGAAATCACATTACCATACATTTAACTTTCATTGACACAACAGTGCGGTGGTCTTTACAAGCCTAGCATAAGAGTATACTCTTATAAGCGAAGCAGAACGTGTTCTACAATCGCGAAAACAAGTAATTTTCATGTGAAAAATGTTCTTATTTCCATGGAAATATAGTACGGAAAAGTTTATTTTATAGAATTTCTCCATACATCTATACTGTATTAAGATAACAAGACGTCTATTTTAGATTATTGCGTTCTGATGTTCCTCGTAAATTTGGCATTTGTCCCGTTTTTGACAAATAGGAAGCTTTTGTGAAATTTTAAATCGTGAGTTTGCAAGCTTTCCAATTCCATAAAACAGTCTAAAAATTAAACTGGATAAGACTTCTGTGATTGTCCGCAATATTTAATATTAGCAAATAATTATTGGCCGGAAAAGAAAANTATAATTTCAATTAACTATTTTATTTGTTTATAGACAGAGTTATGCATGTAATTTAATCATTTACAGCTATATTTTTTAAATATTTGTTACTTATTAATAACTTAAAGTAAAAAATACAACGTCTCGAGTGAGATATTTAGTATTTTAAGGTTACAACTGCTAAGAAACTATACGAAAAAATTCTCTTTTATTTATCCTAAAATTTTCTTACATATTCTATGATCTTTTCTTAGTCACATTTCGACTTAGAATTTAATCTAGTTTCTCCTCTTTCTTTATAACCTTGATATAATTGTATTAAAACTAATTTTAAATGGTAACTTAAGTATTTAAAAAAATCGATTGTAAAAAATTAAATTTTATTTTTAAATATTAAATTCATTAATTTATTTATCGGACGAAGAAGATATCAGCTGCAATTACAATTAATGGTTTTTCTGTCTTTATCTTGAATAATTCTAAGTTATTAATGTTCACTCCTTTATCACTAGTTTAAAAGTTAGAATGTAATTGCTGAATTAATAGCTTTTTTTTAACATAAAGCAAAAACATTCAACAAATAAAATTAAATAAATTATTTACGAAAAAGTTAACATTTTTAAATCGATATTTTACAAACATCATAAGTAAGTACTATTAATTAGAAATATATGTCTATTAAATGTATAATGAGTAAATAATAATGACTTCATCTCCGGTAAATAATTTATAAAATCAATAAATTTTCGATTTATTTAAAAGACTGATTTATCTTAATATAAATATTTAATTTTATTATAATTTAAAAGCACGACTAGAAAAGTTTTTCACAATAGAGTATTTCTACACTGAAGTAAGATATTGCTGTTTTACTAGAAATATTAGAAAGTTAATTATTTAAAATTTTTCTATACATTAAGTTATAAATTCTTAATTTTATCAAATTTAAAATTTAATATAAAATTCATTAATTATACAATTAAAAATCAAATTTTATAAATTCAAATTAAACATATTTTAAATAATTTGCCTACTTTTTTTCTCAATAATTGAAGTTTTCCAATAGTCTATAATAATATAAAAGTTAAAATTTAGAAATAAATATCACTATCTTTAAAAATAATAAAAATTTACCAATTATTAAAAACTTTAAATATTAACTTGAATGTAAAACATTTTTAAAAATAAATGTAATTGATTTTGTCGCTTAAATTGAAGTATTTTTAAATTAGAGCATCAAAATGATAAATTTGTCATTTAATATTAATATTATAAATAAATTTTAAGTTTAATAAGAAAAAAAGAATAAAATGTTTATTACTAAAATTTAAATATTTACAGTTCATTGACTTATTTTATAGAATGAAAAAACAAAATTTATGGTTCAAATAGTTTTTAGAACTTCTTCAATCTTCGCTAATGATGCTGATTCAATTTTTCCTAGAACATCAACATTTTTCTTATATTTTATAAGAATCAAAAATAATTTACAGGATGTGCACTTAAACATCTATCCAGAGGCAAAAGATATTTTTCTAGAATTGATTAGGTTAGGCTGTGAATTGCAGCAAATACAAATGCACAGGATATTACGTCTTCATGACAGCCACTATCCCACTGCTATCTGCAACTAGCATAACACGCAGGGAATGCCACATCGCGATTTAATAGTGCAACATGATGTTAAATTTACAACATAACGAACCACATATTTAGAATATTTTATGGATTGATGAGGCGTTGTTTTCCCGGAATGAAGTCTATAACCATCACAATGGGTACTACTGGGCAGAGCATGATCCACGATATACGTGACATACGCGACACCAAATGAGTTTTGCCCATTTGGTGGCTTGATGACTTGCCATTGGCGCAACTACAACAGGTTTGGTACCAGCTTTTCTTAAGTTTCATGGCTTAACAATATTGTAACAGAATATAATGGGATGTTTTTCGTAAACATATTGAATCAATAAAACTTATATTTCCTAAAATACATATTATTGTCAATGCCTATCAAAGTTAGACGTATACAGATGAAATTGGAAAAAAATAAATAAACACTTTGATTGTTTTTTGATGATATGAAACCGTGCTGTACAATTTGTTTATGCTTCTAACACAATAAAGTGTCTTAATTTATAACACTTTATTGTGTTAGAAGCATAAAACTTTGATTGTTGTTTACTTATGTATGTATGTTTATTATATATGTTATACAAGAGTAATTTAGAAAAAGTAAAAGTAATATTAAAAATTAAGTAAATAAACACAACTCAAAAAAATATTAAATTATTAAAAATAAATATTCAATAAAATAAATTCAAAAGATATGAGATAAGGAGAGTAATGAAGTTTAAACAGTAAATAATAACTGATCAAACAATAAAATAAGCACATTAGTGATAAGAAGGTTTATAAATAAATTTTATATATTTTATTTCTACATTCTTAATGTGAACCTTGAGTTTGATGTTCTTATGCAAGTTACCTTACATATAGTTCCATATTTGACAGTGACAACCAAAATTTTCGGCTGTCATTGTCCAATTTGGAAGCATTAAGGATTAAGGAAACGACTTTACTAAATTCATATTTAGTGAATTATGTGGACGAAAAAACAACGAAAAATACTTCAGCTGTTTTCTTAATTTGGGAAATCTCTTTGATACACCAGACTTTACTCAATAATCTCGGTTATGTTAAAAGAATTTCGCTTGTGCCATTGTGTCAATTGAAGCTGTATTAAACTTTTCTGGATTTCAAGTCTAACATTGTTAGGTTGTGCACCAAAGGATCCGAAATCCAAATTGGAATTATTTCTTTTCCAAACACATTTGACTTCTATGCACAATTGATGCACACAACCGCTATACGACCAGGACTGAACTGAAGGGTAGTAGAAAAAGCTTTTACCTGTTCTTATCTTCAATTATCTGTAATTACTAACTTGCACATACATTTTTATTCGCATTTTTGTGAGAATGAGGCTCTCAATTTCAGGTAATATTGAATTTGTCTTGGAGTCCATAAAAAATGAATTCATAATTAAGTAATTTACTGATGTTTCTTCCTGTTAGAATTAATATTAGTCCATATGAACGCTTGTCTTTTAAATAATGCAAATTCTTAGACTGAGTATTGACCACTAACTGATTTTGTTGTAACTACTGCGTATCAAAAAAGTTGAATTGTGCATGCGTTTCTTTCGGTTATTCGTGCCACTCCACTTCATTTGTTTTATCCCTTGTCCTCCTTCAGTTCTCTATGGCTCCCAGGGACCCCTCGATCCACGTCTATATCTTTGTATTGCCGTTGAAGGATGTCGTTTTGAACATGTTGAAACAAAATAAACTTCACTTTTTTGTATCAATTTTCGCAATATTGTCTTTATCCTTTACAGTCAGAGATTATTTGAAAATTGTGCTAAATTGTCTTAAATTGATTCCCTTCGGTTATTTTAGAGCTGTACATTTGCACATTCGTCTTTGAAAAATACACACATTACCAAGCTGTAAGGATCTAAGTATGAATAAAGTACAGTATGAATAAAGTACAGTATAGAAAATTTAGGTAAAAATAGGTAAACCTGATGGCGGCACTTTCGGAATCTCGACAGCAAGTCTTTTTTGTATTTTAATCTAGGTCTCGCTGTCTATTAATAATTTCCATCATTTCTAACACCGTTGGTTTTTAAATTAATTTCTTAACATTTTATATACTTGTTTATTGTTATTTTATTATTTTGTTTCAAAGATTTCTTTCTTGTTTTTGTAATAATTTTTCAGTTAATATTTGATTTTTTCCTTTTTATTGTTGTAATGGCAGAAAAAGTTATAGTCCAACAGTCTTCATGGCAAAAGTGGGCTTTAAAGGATTTTTTTACATTATTTAGAATCGGATTTTCCTGAAATTGATAATTGATGTTAACACGAGAATTTCTTACTATAAAGTTTGGTTTGCAACCTGTAGAGTTGCGGATTGTTCGAATTGTTATGGTGGTCTTAAATTAATTTATCGAAAGGATCGTGATTCTGTTTCTTTTAGATGTTATAAATGCAAGATAAACAGTTCATTTGAAGTAACTTTTAAACGTAAATTTGGTAATTATTCTTGGGAAACTATTTTTTCGTTTATTTGCCATCTAATTTGCATAGAATGTATGTGAACTGTTTGGCTTGGGCGTGAGTAGTCGAACAGCTGTTGACTGGGCGAATTTCATACGACACGTTATGATGGTTTCATAGTATTATTTGAACCCAATGAAAATTGGTGGACCTGGGGAGGATTGTCGAAATCGACGAGACTGACGTGAGCAAAAGTAAAAAAACCAGAACTTTTCGACCTGTTTGTTTATCATATGAGTAAGGTTTATCCAGGAGCGGGACGTGTTTCAGTTTAGAAAAAGTCAGAAATTGTATCTTCAGCTCTGAAAGTAAGTAATAAATCCGAAAATCGTAAGAGGAAGGATGTAAACGTGTGTGTTAAGAATGAGGAAAAAGTTTCTATGGTGGGAAAGGATGACATTGCGAAAGTATTAACAGAACCATGTTCTATACCGAAGTAATTGAAAAAAAAAATTTTAAATATGTTAATTGTGAGTAGAAATTTTTTTTCTTTAAAAGCCGGTGTAGTTAGTAGTTGCGTTGGTCGCCATCTTGCTTGTGGATGTTGCGTTTACAAACAAGATGGCGACCGGAAGTGCCGCCATCAGGTTTACCTAATTACACTTTAACCTTATTTTGACTTTATACTTTTATCATTTATACTCAGTTCGCTGTTTTTTTTTTTTTTATCTTTTTACTTTCTTTTATTCTTTTGACTCTTTTCGTCCTGTGGACAGAGACTTTTTTTGTCATGCCCATTATGAATTCGGCCTGTACAATCGGAACGGTTGGTGATGTGGGACGAGACAATTTTGCATTTACTATCTTCTTATTTATTGTAATTAAAGTAACTACATTTTTTACCCAAAATAATTATTAAAATAAAACCGGAAATTACTAAAATTGGAAATCAAATTAGATTATATTTCCTGCGTTATTTAGCCGCCGAGATATATATAGTATATAGACACATACAATTTTTGAAATAATTCATTACTTAAAAGTTATAACAATTGAATATTGCAAGTATTGAAACATCACCAAACGATCGCCTATGTAATCGGGCATAACTCCGCTAATTTAATCATTTAATATTAAGTAATTTGCTACTTAGAGGTAGACATATCGGGCTTCGAGATGTTTGTTATACTGCAAGTATTATTATAAATATTCACATTAAAAATAAATGAAATCATATAATGTATTGCTTGCTTGAAAACTTCTTTTCAAGAGTTCTATACGTTTTCTATCCTACTGCATACATATAGTTTTAACTGAGTTCTTTATTTTCTTAATTCACTTACAAAACTAAATTTTTTTATTTTAATATTATAATTTTTTCAAAGTATTCTCGATGAAAGAAATCAGCCGAACAGATTAAATATTTCTATCCTTATAATGTAACAAAAAATTTAAATATAGCTTACACTATGTTCTAGAACGCAAGAAAATTTTATCGGTTAGGTGACACATATGATATATCCTTGGAAATCTATTATATCACTGTAAACTAAGTTGAACCATACATTGGAATTGATGGACAAGGGACGAGATGATTGAGACTCTACTACAATTTGATAAAAGATTTGTTCCGTAAAGCGTAAATAATGTGACAGTAAAAAGAGAATATACGAGAAAAGAAGATCCATTGAACTTAACGAAAGTTGAATTGATGCTGTTCGATTCTAGTTTCAATAATCGAACAGAATCGATCCGCATCTTGTCTGTAAATTTATTTTTCAATAGAGCAAAGAATAGGCAATAAAACTTTTACTTTATTAGTTTAAAATTATTTATTAATGATTGATCGTAAATTTTTTTTCTTAGAGAAAACAAATATTTTTTTCCTGCTCACAATACATATTCCTAATACAGTAACATTATTGTTTATATGCTTTTTATATTATGAAATTTTAAATTATTAAATCACTTTATGAATTATGTCTATATACTAAAAACATGTTTACATTTACTTAAAAAAATGAAAAGACCATATAATTTATTTACAATTTAAATTAAATAAATTTTTCAGTTCGATTGTAATTTTTCATTAACTATTAAATATTCTTTAAAAGTCATTTAAAATTTCTATCTAATTGAAGTTAACACTTCACAAACGAATAATTCAATCTTGGTGTTTTTATTTGTTTAAATTAAATGTATTTTGCATTTGAAGTAGTATCGATAAATCGATAATATCAAAAATACAATCAAATGTATTCAATATATTTAAACTATATAAAATATTTCTTATTTAAGTATAAATAATAGAATTTTATTGTATTTTATTGTAAAAATGAGCTTTCTCATACATATAATTTAGCTATTGATTGATATAAAGTTTAAGTGATGGCAGTAATTTATTACTTTACAAGTAAATGAATTATGAATTCACCTACAATTCAAAATTTGTTGCATTATACAAAATTTAGAAACATTTAGCAAAATAAACAGCATGAATGAAATTTTGTCATTTTTTTCAAGATTTAATTAAAATTCAAATTTCACAAACTGTGCTAAATATAATAGTATGAAATTAGAACTGGATTTAGACTTGTATGGCTCTAATCTGTAAGATATAACAGGCCCTTTCACTTCACCAAATAATGACGCATATAAAAATGCGAGACCCTAAGCTACATACTCATAACACCAGGCTCTAAGCTGCAGTTTGTCTACCTTATTTGAAAATCTTGCTCTGTATAAAATAAAGACTGTTCATTGCGATTTCTAAAGTTTCAAAATCATTAACTACTAACGGAAATTAGAAATAATCAAGACCGCCGAGAGCTTATATGGACCCGGAGTTAGAGCAAGGTCCCTTTTAGGCTACCTCTTAATGGGCCCCGTTAACCTTTTGTTTTTTGAACAAATGAAATACGTAGAATGTTTGTTTATTAATAAAAACAATCTTTAAGAGTTTTTCCTGTTAGTAAAAATAACATGTAATTTTACAGGGATAGGAATAACTACGTGTCCCTACGTTTTCTCTGGATCCGGGGAAAAATCCCCAGATCCCCTCTCGACTGCTTTGCAAATAGTAACTTAAGTTAGTTAAACTCAACAGAGAATGAAAAATAATGAAACAGTTTACACTCGAGATTCAATACACATTGTGCACGATTAATTGAGAAAGTACAGAATACGATAGATTGATTCAAATGAATAATTAATTTTCTCAACTAACTGTTTTGAATATGAAACGAACCCTATTTTCAGTCTCCCTTAAACTCAATTATATTCTCCTTTTTTAAAATTTTATCTATTTATTTCGAAATATTCATTGGTTGGTCAATTTTTCTCGGTACTGTATTCGATTTCTACATTATTTACATCGAAATTTGATTTCTTTGAAATAATATCAATAAATGGTCAAGATATTTAACCAAATCTAAGTCAATGACATTAATTCAAGTAGATTCGAGTCTATAAATAGAAAATGTCAATAAAAACATAGAAATTCTAACAGACCAATGAATATCCACATTACCTAAAATCAAATATTGAACTTGGCTCATGTTTGAATAGTGTAAGATAATCATGGATTGTTAAAGATAAGCATCTCTAAGGTATCATTCTGTGGAAGCTTTTAATTCAATATAACATACCAGTAATTTTATAGAGGGGAGAAGTAATCCTCCTCATAATTTATTTTAAAAAATTCCAAATAAATCATCAATTTATCTATAAATTAAAATTACATTTCAGTTTAAATTTTGCTAAAAATCCTGAATAGTTTATTATTATAATGAATCGTATACAATAATAAAATAACAAATATCAGATTATTTAGAAGATAATTGCGTTTTTGATGATTTTATAATGTTCCCATTTCACCATTCAAAAACAAAGAAAAATGCAAATTAGCTTTTGTTAGAAAGAAAAATAATAATTTATATTGCATATTTAAAATGTTATTTATATTGTAAAAAAAAAAGCTAAACCGAAACGAATAACTTTAAAAAATAAGAAATAATTCTTTTTATTTAATTAAAAATGACTACAAATAGAAATTTATTGATGATTTTACTTTAATTTGCTATAATATTTCATATAAAATAACATATATAATAGGATATTAAATGTACAGTACAGTACTTATACAAAATAGTTTTTTTAAATGTTATTTTAATTAAAATGAAATTCTTTACAAAATTTGTCAGATTATATTTTAGATTATTGAAAATTTTATTTAGACTTATCGTGATATGAAAGATGACAACAGAACTAATCAAAAGAGGAAAGTAGAAGTTTATTTAGACTGGAAAATCCGGATTATATCAACTCTCTTTAAAAAAAAATCACTTATAATCCGAAATATAACATTTATTTTGAAATATACTTCTATATTTCTAAATACAATTTAAGCTTTTCTTTTTAACTTTGGAAAAATTTGTAATTTTTACGCCTGAAATTTATTTCGGAATTGAATTTGCTGTAATTAATAATGATAAATTTTAAAACTATTTATTACAATTATGATGATTATATTAATATACAGGATATAGACAAACATTGCGCCAGGCCATATCTCTCCTCTGCATCTTAATAACTAAATGCAATTGCAGTGGAATATAGGTAATCGGTAATGAGCTGTGTGTTGATTTGAACACCATTGACCAGTGTTTTTCAACTGTTTTTAATCTTACGGCACATTTGAATCGATAAATTTCCGCGGAAAAAATCACGTGATTTAAAGTTATTTGTTTACAAATAACTTTAAATCACGTGATTTTCCGCGGAAGTTTATTTATTAACCTAATTATTTTTGTCTAATTTTTTGTAAATTAAATAAAACAGTATCGTTGTTCCTTAAAATAGAAGCAGGCTACAGCAATGGTTATTTAAATTAATAATTTTTATTTACATAAGAAAAGCAATTAACATTAAGTCTTAATTTGCATTTAAAAGTGGCATGATAATTGCCTTTAGAAACCTGCTCAAAGTCCCGTTATTTCTAAGTTAAAATAATTTGAACTAAATATGGACAATTAGACCTATAGATACATTTTTTATTTAAAGAAAATTTCATTTTAAATGAAATAATCCAGTGTTATGCACATATAATTTTGCTTATGAATATATACTTTTTACAAATTACGTATACGTTTATTTATTATAACAATGAAAAACTCGTATAATCAATTTAAAGAGGTTTTAATTTTGACATGTACAGTACACTTATTGTTCTTTGGTCTTCTTTCGAAAATAATTTATTTAATAACCTTCAGAAATTTTCGCCGCATACCTATGATCTTCTCATGGCACACCGGTTGAAAATCACTGCCATTGACTCTTCAAACCACTTTTAGCTTGAAGGTAAATCTTATCTCGGTTTTTATGAAAGAAAGACAGTTTAATTTGCAAAAATCGTAATGCAAAAATATATTAGTCCGGTTAAAATACCGTCAAATAATCTGAAACCGGTCGGTTTCTGCAAGCCTCACACTGTTTGAAACAGTGTGAGGCTTGCAGAAAAGCCTCACGGTTTCGGTACCGTTTATTTATTTTTGCTGTGCCCAGCCAGCTTCCCCTTTTGAATATTTTAATCGGACAAACTTTAAAGTCGTAATCTTCAATAATGTCCGAGATAAATAGCGAATAGTCTACTACCAATTACCTGTATTCTAGTACATTTAGTTATTACGTAGCAGCGAGATGTCGCCTGGTGTAATGTTTATATCTACACTCTAAATACTGTATATTATGAGAACAGCAAAATAGATGAACTTTCGGTGAAAAATTAGAATAAAAACTGTTCATTGAAATTTATTTCTAATATAAACTTAAATACAATATTTTATTGAATAAAATATGATTGCTATTATATTCTAGATACATGGATAGAAATTTTTATTTTTTTACTTCATCAATTGAAGCAAATCATTCTGAAATAATTGTTAATACAATATTTTTTTATAACTCTGAATTAATTGGACTTCATATGACTTATTAAATACATGTATGCATTTTTACATAGTATAATAGGTATGCATTTTTACATAGTATTAATTTATTTTTGCGTAATGATATAGTTAAACAAAACATTTAATTAAATATAATTTGCACGGTTTTTATTTTATGCTTTCAAAATCTTTTAAAATAATAAACTATATATATTTCCCCCCTCTTTCATAGTGTATATTTATACATAAGTTACATTCCCGTTTTGCATTTTGTGTCTTTCTAACGAGTACTGTACATGATAAAATATATTCTGTTGCAGTTCGAATAATATGTGAAAGGAACACTCTGGCTTTTCATGAATATTCCTCACTGATGTTAATCATGTCCATTAGTAAATATCCAAAAATTGACGTAGGTTCCTTCTTTATATATAATCTACCTGAAATTTCTTTCTATGCGTGTAATCCATTGTGACAATAAATTGAATCATTGTATCAACAACTTATTATTTTTTTAGTAATTTAAATTAGTTAATAATTAATTTTTTAGTAATTATTAATTTCTTTCAGTAAAGAACTTTATTATTTTTTAAAACTTAACAGTTGCAATTAATGAAATTTTATATCACAATAATTCGATTCATTTTATTTAGATACAGATGATTTTGTGTTTTACTTTTGTATGTGCTCCTTCATCCGAATTCCAAAATGAATAACATACAAATTAGTTCTAAAAAT